CAGTAGTTTGGTGAATTGTGCTTATTGGTACGACTCTTTTCACACATATTCATATATTAAATCTAGTGTCAAAAAATGATGATGGCTTTATTATCATTCTTTTGTTCAAATTTTATGATTTTAAAGTAAAATCATTTTACTTTTATGAGTCTCAGACCATAACAGTGTGATTTAGCGTGGACTATTGAATCAAACAGAGCTGGGAGCAGATTAGAGCTTTCTTTATCATCTAGATGACTTAACGAATATTTCTTAACATTCTGATTTCACTTATCGCCTCTTAATTAGAGAGCCTCCATTTCACCATCACTAACTTTGCACTAAGTGGCATGACAAGCAGTTGACTCTGGGGATTCAGAGTGGAATATCAGTATTATTATTTTAGTTATTTAACATATATTGAATGCTTACCAAGTATATTAATCACTTTTCACGTATTCTCTTTAATTCCTCAACAACTCTCCTAGGTAAACTATTATTCTTCTTATTTCTTACACATGAAAATCTAAGCCCAGGTTGCTCTTCTGGCACTCGTCTGCTGCCTCAGTCAGAGTCACTCTCCTCTTTGTCAGAAACTCTTAATGGGCAGTGGACACAGGAGGAAAGGACAAGTAACATGACTACTTCATAGCAGATTTGCTGTTTGTTTCTTAGGGCTGGAAGTATTTGCCAAAGTTTTCCATCATTGAAACCTTTTGTCATATCAGAAGCCATGATTATGGCAAGTGTTAAATATTAGAAAAGAAGACGTAGGAGCCATAAATTAACACTGCAGACAGAGTTGTGCTTCTCACCGAATGTATCGCGTTTTTCTTTTAATATAATTTTCTTTTTTTGTGTGTGTGAGGAAGATTAGCCCTGAGCTATGTCTGATGCCAATCCTCCTCCTTTTGCTGAGGAAGACTGTCCCTGGGCTAACATCTATGCCCATCTTCTTCTACTTTTTTTGTGAGGAAGATTAGCCCTGAGCTAACATCCGATGCCAATCCTCCTTTTTATTTTTTGCTGAGGAAGATTGGCCCTGGGCTAACATCCATGCCCATCTTCCTGTAGTTTATATGGGACGCAGCCACAGCACGACCTGAGAGCAGTGCATCCCTGAGCACCTGGATCTGAACCTGCAAACCCTGGGTCGCAATAGTGAGTGCATGCACTTAACTGCTATGACACTGGGCCTGTCCTATCACCAAATGTATTCTTTACATATCCATATGGTCAACAGCAACGCACTTGAAGGGTCAAACTCTGGTCACAGTGAGGTAGAAGCAGCTTTGGGTTTGCTTGGGAGAGACTGATTCCACATATGATGGGGACAAATATGCTGCATCTTGGTAGAGATGTGACATGAAATATCAATATGTAATAGCTTTCAGACAGGGCCAGAGCTTGCAATGACACAATTATCCATTGTATGCACCATTATAGCTTAAGCATAGAATATGTCTTATCTATGTTATATTCAACTTTTATTACTGTTGTTAAAGACAGAAAAGAACCACAGAGAATAGAACAAATAGTCAATGTTTCATGGGATCCTATAATGATAAATCCAACTCTCTGTAGCCTTAACATGTTAGTGCTGTCTGAGGGACTCGGAAAAGATATGGCAAACTCATACATACATAGAATGTTATCAGTCTCAGTGAAGATGAATTGTTGCTTCTGTCCCCAGTTAGATGGAGAGTTTAATATAATCAACTCGCCACCCAGGGGCTGGCTTGTCTCCTCAAGGTGCGGTTCTTTACCAAGACTCAATGTCAGTCTCTGCTGCTGCTGACAGGTCAACCGTCTCAAAATAGTGATAGCTCAAACTACCTTGGTGAGAAGAAGCCCATGCAGTTGGCCTGTGCATCAGCTTAATCCTTTCCACCATGGCTATTCCATTCATGGACCCATTGTGTAAGAACTGGAGGGGTCAAATATAGAGGCTAAGTATCATCTAGTGGACAAGACATCCTCTTTACCTGATTGTTGAGAACCTCTCCTGAAGACTCTGGTGGTGACAGAAATCTCCCAGGCGCAGATGTAGATCCTCACAGTTGGAAGTCTGGGTCAGTGTACACGGATATGTTGAGTGCCAAGCAGATATAGGTAGAGTGACAACTGTGTCTGTCACAATAATGGACTCCATATAGTAAATTTCTCATTTAATCCTCTGAATCTCCCTGAAAATTAATATTGTCTCTTTAATCCAATTAGTACACTATATATTTTTTAAAATTTTTTCAGCTTTATTGAAGTATAATTGACAAATAAAATTCTAATATGATTGAAGTGTATGACATGATGATTTGATGTATGTACACCTTATGAAAAGATTCCCAGATCAAGTTTAAGACTTCCATCATTTCACATGTTTGCCTTTTTTTCTTCTGGTGAGAATAGGTAAATTCTATTTTCTTAGCCAACTTCAATTTACAGTGTTATCAACTATAGTTACCATGTTATATATTAAATATCAGACTTTAATTGTTTTATAGGTGAAAGTTTGTACCATTTTAACAACGTCTCTCTTCTCCCTCAACCCCTAGCCCCCAGCAACCACTTTTCTACTCTCTGTTTCTATGAACTCGAATTTTTTTTCAGATCACACTATACAGTATTTGTCTTTCTCTCTATGGCTTATTTCACCTAGTATAATACCTTGCAGTTTCATCCACATTATTGTTGTGACAGATTTTCTTTTTATTTCAAAGCTGAATAATATTGTATTGTATATATGTGTATATATATATATACCACATAATCTTTATCCATTCATTGATCAATGGACACACAGTTGATTTCACACTTTGGTTGTTGGGAATAATGCTGAAATGAACATAAGAGTACAGATATCTCTTTGAGATGCAAATTTTTCTTTCTCTAGAAAATACCCAGAAGTGCAAGTGCTTGATTATATGGTAATTTATCTTTAATTTGAGGCCACTCCACACTGTTTTCCTTAGTATCTGCACCAATTTACGTTCCCAGAAACAGTGCACAAGAGTTCCCTTTTCTCCACATCCTTGTCATCATATGTTATCTCGTCTTCTTTTCTAAATTATTTTATTGAGGTCTTATTGGCTCATAACATTGTGTAATTTCAGGTTTATATTATTATATATCAGTTTCTGTACAGACTGCTTTGTGTTAACCACCAATAGTCTAGTTTATCCGTCACAATGTGTGTGCCCCTTTACTTCTTTTGCTTTCCCTCCACGCTTTTCCCCTCTGGTAACCACTAATCTGTTCTCTTTGTCTGTGTGTTTGTTTCTCTTTCACCTATGAGTGAAATCATACGCTGTTTGTCTTTCTCTGTCTTGCTTATTTCACTTAGCATAACACCCTCAAGGGCTAACAATGTTGTTGCAAATGGTACAATTTTGTTTTTTTTGTGGCTGAATAGTATTCTGTTGTATATATATATATATACTGCATTTTCTTTATCCATTCATCTGTTAATGGACACTTGAGTTGCTTCCATGTTATCTCTTGTCTTTTTCATAATAGCCATCCTAATAGGTGGGAGGTGATATCTCATTGTGGTTTTGCTTTGCATTTCCCTAACGATTAGTGATGTTGAGCACGTTTTCAGGTACCCATTGGCCATTTGTATGTCTTTTTGGAAAAATGTCTATTCAAGTCCTTTGACTATTTTTAAGTTAGGCTATTTATCTTTTTGCTATTGAGTTGTGCTTGTTCCTTGTATATTTAGGATATTAATCCTTTATCAGATATATAGTTTGCAAATATTTTCTCCCATTCCATATGTTGCCATTTAATTTTGTTGATGATTTCTTTTGCTGTACAGGAGCTTTTTATTTTGATGTAGTCCCACTTGTTTATTTTTGCATTTATTAGCTTTGCTTTGGTTTCAAATCCATAATATGATTGCCAGGACCAAAGCGAAGAAGTTTCCCCCTATGTATTCTTTTAAGAGTTTTAAGCAGGTCTCTTTTGTTAATGGTTAAATCTCCAGGGCTTCAGAGTCTAGCATAATGTGAGGAGCACAGGAGGCACTTAATAAATACTTGTTGCATAAATGTTGAATGAGAGCACTTAATGAGTGAAGGATAAAAAAAACAGTCATGAATGACTTTAAGAGCCCCGTTGGTTGTGAACTGGATAGATGATTGGTATTATAGATTCATTTCCAATTCTAAGCCAAAAATATCTGTATCTGTATCTATACCTGTATCTATCTATATCTATATCTTTAGAAGTTTTCTCCAAGTGTCAAAAGTATTCCTGTTAGTTACCTCCTTACGATGAATTCTTTTTTGAGTGAGACTTGATTTCCCATGTTCTATGGTGAGGCAGATTTCATGAATTTATTTCGGATTAGAGATTGTATTGGATTTTAGTCTGTGCCCCCAGAGGACAGGTTTTTTATCAAGGCTTACACCATCAAACAGTGGAACAGAAGACATGGATAAACAGCTGGTGAAAAGGCCCTGAACGAATCAAATTGCTTCTCTCTGAGTCAGGTGGAGTTCCAACCCTCCTTTTTCATATTTTATAGATTCCTAGAGCAAAGCTGGAGAGGCCACTACAGTGGTAATTGATGTACATTTCTGTCACATCGATGTGACATATGTATATCAAAATGATGAGGACATGTGCAAGGCCCCCTGAGAGAAGATGGTGGATCACACCGTGAAGAGAGAGGACATATTCCACACTAATAAGGTGCTGTGTGCAGAGTGACAAGAGGTTGCTGTCAGAACAGTTATGTTATTTTGAAAAAAAAAAAAAAACAACTTTGGTTTCGCTTTGAATAATTTATTTACCTCCTAACATTACAGAGGCCCATTATGGAAAAACAGAAAACATAAAAGGCTTTCATTGCTCTGAAATGTGTTAAGGGTGGGACCCAGTTGCTCAACCTCTCTGTATATCAGTCAGCATTCATATCTGAAACCCAAATAATGATACTTTTATTCTATATCTGTTGCATGGATTGACTGGGCCACTGTGGAGTGAGTCCACTCCTTTTACCCTTCAGTAGAGTCTCTCAGGACATAACCAAGTGAGGCTGACATGTTATTCAGAAAAGGCGGCCAGTCTAGGAAATACTTTTTTCAAGTCAGCATTGGGATTGGAGAAAAGTGTAAAATTTTCTGAGGTGGAAAACCCTGCTTCCAATGTCAAGACAGCTGAGGTCTCCTCAAAATGATCCTACCTATAGCAACATCAATGATCACGTGGTCTTAGAGTGTGGGTTGCTCACTCTAAGCAGAATTGTTTCCAGGCATTTATTATATAAGACAGTAAGTTCCATTTCCCCTTACCTGACATCTTTTTACTTTCCCTCCAGAGATGACTTTTTTAATCCTTGAAACACTTAGGGTGCTTTTCCTAACCCATCTAAATATTATTCACAGTTTTTATATAGTCACTCAAATAAATCTTAGAGAGTAAATGAGGAGAGATTGGTGTCAGAAAAGCCAAAGAAGTGGAATGAACATGTTTGTGTGAGCCATAGGATGGATCCTCCTGAAGTGCAGCCAGTGCACAGAGGGATAGAGAGAGTTATTGGATTTAGTGACATAGACTTCAGGAAAACCTCCCAGGAACAGTTACGGAGAGGCCAGAGAAAATGTCAGAGAGAAAAACAAAGGAGAAGAAAGTCGGGAAATTGAGAAATCATAATTAAAAGAAATCATTTTTAAAGGTAACACCCAGCACTACCAATTTTCAATACTGTGACATTATAATATTATATACCTTTTTTGCAATACAGTTTGAAAATTATGCAAGAAACCATTCAAATATTTATACTCCTTGTCTTAATTATTTCACATTTAGAAATATATTTGTAGAAAATAATTCAAAATATGTTAACGTGTGTCCCTCCCTTTCTCCCCTTCTCCTCCTCCTCCTTCTCTTGCTCTCTCCTTCAACTGATTTGTGAAAGAAACTAAGCCCTTTTTCCTTTAACTTTTTCCATGGAATTGATGTTACTGATGGATCCCTGTGAAACAGTATGACATGATACTCTGTCTTTGTGCCCCTGTAAACTGGAGGTTACAGCTAGGAGTTGATCATATGTATATGTTACTGTGAATTCATGAACATTAAGAAATATGATGTTTTCCCATGCAATGTAGTTACTGTACTTATTGATGATCAAATTGCTACCACTTTATTACCTCTTCAGCTGAGCTCTTGAGTCCTTTGACATGCCTCATTGTCTTTCCTATCTTCTTCACCTTGTAGAGTGTAAGATGTTCTAGGCTCAATTTGTAGCTTTTTGCCCAGACCTGGAATTAGCCATTTTTTTAAGGAATCTTGGTTTTTTTCCATAGGAAATGGCATTTAGAGGCCACATCCTAGGTGTATGAGTCTTTAGTCATTTTAAACAGTAACAAAAAAATAAAAAAAAAATTCTATCATTTCTGAAAACCAATAACATTTGAATGGATTTCAGAAGGTGCATGGGAAAAAGTATCATTCTGAAACATATAGTATATATATTCATTTAATGTTACATATTCCTTCAAAGGACTTTTCAAATTTGCATGTTATTGGCTCACGTCTTCTGATACCTTTTGGTCTTGGCAACTCACAGGTGGAATGTCACCCTTACCTCAACTAGAGCAACCTGCTGGAGTTCTGCAAGTCTGAGAACATTGTTATAGTTGCCTACAGTGCCCTGGGGTCCCAGAGAGACCCAAATTGTAATGAGAATATCAGAGTGAACCTATATCAGTAACTATTAATGAAGAAACCCTTTTTAAAAATTGTTTTAAATTTTATTATGGAAAGTTTCAAGCATAAAAAAATGAAAACAACCATATAGTGATCAATGGATGAATAGATAAAGAGGATGTGATATATATACAGAATGGAATACTGCTTAGCCATAAAAAGATGGAATCTTGCCATTCGAGGCAACATAGATGGACCTTGAGGGTATTATGCTAAGCAAAATAAGTCAGATGAAGAAAGACAATTACCATATGATTTCACTTATGAGTGAAAGACAAAACAAAAACAGTAAACAAACACATACTTATAGAGGTTAGATTGGTGGTTACCAGAGGGGAAGGGGGGCGGGAGCATGGCTAAAGGGGTAATAGGAGACATGTATACAGTGAAAGATGGTCTTTGGGTGGTGAACATGATGTAGTTTACACAGAAAAGAAAGCATAATGATGTACGTCTGAAATTTAAGTAATTTATAAACCAATAAACGTGATAAAAATATGGTATAGTGAATTCCCAAGTATCATCCCTGGGCTTCAACTGTCACCAACATTCTTCCATTCTTTTTTGCTTCATACGTCCACCTACTACAAACACCATTCTAAATATTATTTTTGAAGGGATTTAATGGTAAAATTTATACAACTTGTCATGCATAAATCTTAGCTTTCCAATGTCACAAATGGATGTACTGTATAACCTGCCCTCTATCATGATGCAGAAACTTGCTACCTTTCAACAACGTTCTTTTGCTTTCCCTTCCAGACAATCCTGCCTCACTCCAAGGCAACCATCTTTCTGATTTCTTTTTTCAACTTAGATTAGCTTGCCTTTTTCTAGTACTTCATATATAAAGGACATCACAGAGTATATACTCTTTTGTGTCTGGCTTTTCTGGCTCAACATAACATCTGTGAGATTTACCCACGTTGTTGCAGGTATCTAGTTCAATCCTTTTTACTAGTGAACAACATTCCGTCACATGGACATAAACACCACAAGCTGTTTCTCTATTAACATGTTGTTGCAAATATTAGTTGTTTCCAGTTTGGTACAATTTTAAATGAATCTCTACAACTGTTCATGAAACTCTTTTTTAATCATACAATATTGTACCTACTTCTCACAATTACCTGGGGAATTTGGGGATAAGGATGCTTTAGGTGTTCAGAACTGCACCCTTCAAATAAAGTTTTTTGATTTTTATTTTCAGGGTGGAAAGGGATAGTTCATATCTCTTGGATGAGCCGATCTTGGGTGCCATTGCCAAAAAACACAATCGAAACTCATGCCAGGTCGCCCAGCACTACCAGCTGCAATGGAGTTTGGTGCTCCTGACCAAGAGCTCCAGTGAAAAGAGAATCAAAGAGAACTTCCAGGGAAGTAGAGGCTGGAAAGTCTCTCCAGAGTGAGGAATGGATGCCGTATTGGGGGCCATCTCTCTTGACTTTCAGCACCCACCCGTGTTCATTCATTTCATTCATCTTTCTCTAGGTGCAATGGAAGCAACTAGAAAGAGTGTAAAGAGTGAGCACTGGCCTCAGAGTCCTAAGTTTTATGCCCTCTAGGCTTGGGTTTGCCACTTTCATAGTTGTGTGACACTGAGCACAGTTCATCTCTGTTTTTTAATCAGTTGTCATATTCCTTCCATGCACTAAAGAATTTTTAAAACCCTTGTTCCTCTTCTTCAACTTCTCAGGCTGATGAACCCTTATTTGTATGTCAATATCAAACTGAATAACATTAACCACATTGTTAATCCATTGGGACACCCCAGCACAGCTGTTGACCACCACACCTAAAGGCATGGCTCTATTAGTTAGTTTTTCTCTATTAAAGTCAAATTGTTTGTTTATATGTCACTGTGCTCTCTAACCATGAGGCCCTAAATGCTGTGACTCCCCCTAGGTTATCTTTTACCACCTTTTCCCCAGCAGTGATGCTGGCAGGTAGGGAGAAAGATACATAAGTTTATAAACTGACCAAATTAACAAACAAACGAGTAAAGATGTTCCATAAATTCTCCCTCACACATCTCCTGATGCCTTAGATTAATCAGTGGCCTTCAACTTATTTTGTTGTGAACCTCACAGGATTGCAAAAAATTACTTAAGCTCTGTCTCATTTTAATTTGACAGCTCAAAATTTCATCATGTGTACAATATCTGCAAAAGATGACCTTTGGAACATATTATTTATAAAGTATTTGCTCTAAAACTTTGAAGCTTAGCATTAGTTCATTAAATTTTTGAAAATACTGAATACAGAAATCTAAATATCTTTGTTAAATCAATAAGAAAAGAAACCCACATTTTATTTTCCAATTCAACTCAACATTTTTTTTTTTTTTTTGGTGAGGGAGATTGGCTCTGAACTAATACTATGCCTGTCTTCCTCTATTTTGTATGTAGGATACCTCCACAGCATGGCTTGATGAGCAGTGCATGAGTCCATGCCTGGGATTTAAACCTGTGAAGCCTGGGGTGCTGAAGCAGAGCACTCAAACTTAAAGGTTATACCACTGGGCCAGCTCCAACAACTCAGCATTTTAATACATATCCCTATGACAATCAAATCATTTCTGGAATATATTTTTAAGATGAATGACAGGTGGATAGGTAGATGACAGATAGATAGATAGGTAGATAGATAGATAGATAGATACATAGATACATAGATAGAAAAAAGATAAGGTACTGAGTTTTCCATAAAGTTGTCACTGGAATGAAATAATGTGCTTCCTGTTTTCATATTTCTTACCAAAGATCTGTCTGCTTTGCTATTAATAGACACTCCATTAAGGACTGTGTATTGTCAAATAAAAACAAATGTGGACTTAAATAACAGAGACTTTATTCAAAAGGGAGAACTCTCTGAATGTACCATCTATAAGTGTCTTAAAGATCAATCATAACGAGTTTTCTTTATAGGGAAGTGTAAACACCCCTTTAAAGAGAACAGTGTTTGGGGATTGGGATGAGCTGGAGGTATGCTTCAAGAGTTGTTCAAGGAATGCTTTTTCTGGAGGGTAGCAGATTCTTGGAGAAGATGTCACAAGGGGTTGCTCTTCCTTTCAATGTTTGCTTAAGTTCAAGTCTGTCAAAATCTAGGGGCTGGTGGGGAAGGAAAAACCTGACCAAAGTTTTATCAAATCAGCAGGTATTTTTTCCAGGTAATCCAACCGTCCCTTTGGAAAAAGGAAAATTTTTTTTTTTATCACAAGAAATTCACTTGAAAAGATTTGCGGTTGATGAGTTGTGAGCCTTTCTTTTGTGAAGAGGAGAGAGAAGGAGAGGATGTGGGTAAGGAGAGGTGGAGAAC